GAAAACCCAGCGCTCTGTAACTAAAGCTTGGAGAGGAGTTTCCTGTTCTGGCCTTGGAAGTGTTACTGGGCCTACTTGATAACCAGAAAGTGGAGGGGGATTTGCAGTTTCCTGTGGCATCCCAGCAACAAAACGCCAAATATCCAATCTTAAACTTCACAGTGACTTTCTGCTGCTTGAGGTTAGGGATCTTTTCCCATCCCTGCCTTCCCCCCAGTGTGTTTGGTTTGGAGAAGGACCTTGAGGATCTTAAGGAAAGCTTCCGCCTTGTACATGTTCTGCCAAGGTGTTGCACTTAATAACTCAAGTCTACTTATCTGTACGGCTTAGGGGGTGGTTTTCAGCTTAGGCGGCCTTCCTTTTGACGAGGTGCCTCTCTGCAGAGGACTGCCTGTGCAAAGCACATCTGCAGCCATGCTAGCAGCAAGCTGCTGGGGCTGCAGCTGTGAGGGGACACCCGGCCGAGTGGTGTAGGACGAGTGGTCAGTGGGCTTGGAGAGAGGAGGCAGGGGCTCTGCTTGTGCACTGAAGTGCTTGAATTTTGTTGTCCTGTAATTCTAAGGGAAGACTGGCAATGAAGAGAACCTATGAAGGGAACATCTCCAGGGAAAGCAGGTAAGCTTTGGATGGCATTTACGGGGATAACTTTAAAATAGGAACGAGTCTGCCTGTGTCTAGGAGATTGAAGTAGGCACATAAAGATAGTTTAACCAGTGGCAGGCTGCTTGTTACTTCCATGTTCATCACGTGGTATGTTGACATCTCTGCTAGGTGAGCATGTAGCTATCATTTCTAAACCTTCCAACACTTTCTCCTCTTTTAGAAACAGGATTCCAGCAACCATGTCGAAGCACCACGATGCAGGGACCGCTTTCATCCAAACCCAGCAGCTGCATGCTGCCATGGCAGACACTTTCCTGGAGCACATGTGTCGCTTGGACATTGACTCTGAGCCGACCACCGCAAGAAACACCGGCATCATCTGCACCATTGGTAGGTGACCTCCAGATGAGGGAAGGCTGCAGCTCTTCGCAGCGGTAGAGCCACGAAGCCCTGTGCGAAGTTTGGTGAAACTTCTTAGGGAAACTGTGGGAAGGCTTCAGCTTTTTATCTCTTGCCAAGGCTGGATTCCTGTTGAAACAACATGACTTTCCCATGTCTGGCTAACTCATGTAATTGCTGGGAGCAAATCCAGTAGCTGGGGAGCCTCTTTGCTTTTAACAGGCAACCTGAAGGCAAGTTGAAACAGCCTTTACTGCTGTAGAGATGAGCTGGGTCAGCACTAAGCAAGCCCATATCTATTATTCTTTATTCATCCGCATGAAATAATCTGCTCTCATGGTTATCTCATAATTTTTTCAAAGTTAATATTCAAACCGTTCCTTCCTTCCAGGCCCAGCCTCCCGCACAGTGGAGAAGCTGAAGGAAATGATTAAATCTGGAATGAATGTTGCCCGCCTCAACTTCTCCCATGGCACCCATGAGGTAAGGGTGAGGCTGGAGCTGCTGCTGGCCAGGCCTGGCCTGCTGGGCGCCCTGTAGTCTTGTGAAAGAAGATATTAGGTGAAATCCAACTTACTCAGGCTGGCCTCAGTGTGGGAAAGCTCTGCTTTGGGGGGAAGAACACACGAGTTCAGTGTAAGCACTGAGCCTGAACGACTGCTCATAGCACTTGGAGTACTCTCCAAGCCATTGTGAAAGCAGTTCAGGTTGGTTCCTTATAGACTCACATGCCTTTTGCCCTATCCACCTCTACCTGTGAGCCGGGTAACCAGTGTTTTACTCTTGTGTTCTAGCTGTTTGCCATAAGTTCCCTCAATTCTTCACCCTCGTGTCCTACTGCTAACTGAGAGTCGACAGCCTTTAAAGCGTGGAGGGGAAGATAAAAAGTATGGTCCTTGTTTTGCTGTGCATCTTTGCAGAAATACTTGCCTGTTCTACTGCTGGGTGTTCAGGGAAATAACTGATTGGTTGATAATCGTAGCTCAAAAAAAAAAAAAGCAGTTAACCATAAGCAATTCAAGTCCTGGGTCTGTGTGGCTAACTGGCTGCCCACCTTATGTTCCCAGCAGTCATGAGGATAGCACCACCATACTTGGGAGTTGGTGCATCAAGCCTAGAAGAATAAGGTCAGAAGAAATCCACACTGAGGTAGACAAGCCTGTGCTGATATAAATAGCCGAGATCCTCGCTGATACTGGAGAGGCCAAGGATCCCGTTCCGCCTTGCCTGGAATGCCACCCTGCCTTCCCGTGCTGGATGTCCTCCAGCTTGCAAAATGTCAGGCGGTAGCCTAGTAACAGCTGTAGGTGCCTCGACTAATTAAACAACCAGAGCCTTGAGGTGTGTCACAGCTTGGCCTTTCACCCTTGATGATCTTTAAAGGGCACAGGGCACCGGAGGAATCGGAAAGGTCTGACACTTTGCTGACGACAAACATCAAACCCCGACTATATTAATACTAACCTCTGGGGTCGCGTCAGTGCATAGGCTGCAGTTCACCTACAAGCGTGGAAAGGGCAACCTGAATTAACTGCCTTTAGGAAATAGTAGCCAAATGCCATATCCTGGCTCAGCTGCTGGGCTGGCTGCTCAGCAGGGAATTGGTGGCCAGCGTGAAGTTGGGAGTTCAGGGTGTTGCCCCCTGAGTTGCTCTTGTGCTTTGAGTACTTGTTAGCTGGGAGCAAGGCACAGGGAGCGTGGCTGTTTGGCTGGGGTGAAGTGCAATCGAATAGCGTATTTCAGAGGGACGAGGTTAGATTACAACAGAGCCTAGTCTTGCTGTAATCTCCTGTTTGACTGTCCCTGCAGCGAGTCTCACTTCCCTTCTGGTTTCCCTGCAACACTCCGCTTGCCAGCGAGGCCTCTGCAGATGTTCATCTGCTGCTGTCCCTTTGTTCTGGTGTCCAGTGCAGCATCTGCAACAGGCCTTGAGTCACAAATCAGTGTTCAAAGACTTGCTAGCCTGCTTTTTCTTCCTCTTAAAGAGTTCCTTTTACATCCCTCTGCCTGCATTCCAGGTCTGGGTACTAAATTAACAGGAAACAAACTCTGTAGGAGCCAGTCCCTTATCTGCATCATGTGAAAACAAACGTCAGGTAACTGGGCCCAGATAAGGTTAATGGCCCTGCTCACTCTTGCTTCCTGTGCTCTTTAGGCTGTGGTCTGTGGAACAGCCGAGGCCTTGTCAGTCCCAGCCTACGTATCCGATGAGAAAATGAGATTAGTCCTGCTCTAAAATGGTAGTTCTGGGATATCTCTGGCCCGAGCATTCACATGCACTTAAGTACAACTTGTTCTGGCTGCTCCTTTTGGGTGTTGATTTTTATTGTCCCAGAGATAGCGAAGGCGGCGTGTGAGGCTAACCAGGACTGCGGGGGGATGAGGTCTGCAGGTGAGACTGCTCCAGCATTATCAGTCTGATAGAGCGAGGAAAGGGCACTTATTATCTTCAACTGTCTGTAACCTTAACCAGAAGTTATGCAATCCTTTATCTCTAATGTTGTTCAAACAAATAAAGTAAATGGATCTCTCGATCATCTGGAGCTTATTTGAGGTTGTTGAGATAGGAGTTTCCCACAGAACTGTGTCTCCTGGGCCTGGCGGTATCAGCAAAATGCTCTTGCTCACATGAAGCGGTTCTGCTGCCTGGTGCTCGATGCTGGAGTCCTGAACTTCCTGCTGCGATTGCTTTAGCTCTAGAAATAGAATGTAAATACTAAAATGGGTAATGTTGTCTTAGTAAATCCCTTAGCTCTGGGGGAGATTTAAACTAAATAGCTGCAAAAGAGAGGAAAAATTAAAAAAAAAAAAATGCCAGGCTGGAAGTCTGGGGGGAAATCGGCAGTACAGAGAATGGCATCGTCGCTTCCATGCTCTGCAGGTAGGAGAGGAAAGGCCATGTGAGGTAACTGCTTAGCTTTGAACTTGTCCTGGTGTTAAGAACTTCCTGTGTGCATCACCTTCAGTCCTCCTAAAAGCTTATTGGTTCCCCTCTGCACTTCAGAGGGAACTTGTGCATCCTGATGGAGAATTGCTCCAGCTGAACTTGTAGGTGATTTCCTTGAGTTCTCTGTATGAGCTGAGAAATGAGGGCTTAAAACACAGTGAAACCATAGCCAGGTAACTTGGAATCTGCTTTCAGATAGACCTTGGTAAGTCCCCACTTGGTGCGTTTAGATGCTTAGGCTGAAATACATTCTGGGTCTGGTCCAGCATTGAGCAGCATCTGAGAGCAGAGCTGTGAGCTTGGGTGGTGTTTGAGTCCTTTCTCTGCATGGTGGAGGAGAAATGCGCTGAAAGTTTCCGTATCTCATTTTTCTTGCCAGTATCATGAGGGCACAATCAAGAACGTGCGAGAGGCTACAGAGAGCTTTGCCTCCGACCCAATCACCTACAGACCTGTGGCTATTGCACTGGATACAAAGGGACCTGAAATCCGAACTGGACTCATCAAGGGAGTAAGTTGCTGCTTTTTATTCCTCCTTTTTTTTTTTTCCAATAAGTCAGACTAGATATTATGTTTATGTCTGTGGCCTGTTTACCAGGCAAGAAATGTCTTCAGGGAACTAGATAAGAGTCTGTTGTCCCCTGTGAGTTAGGAGTAGCTGCAGCAGCAGATGCCTCTCTGCTGCTCTTGCTGAAATGTGTGTTTTGGCATGCAGAGTGGCACAGCAGAGGTGGAGCTCAAGAAGGGCGCAACTCTCAAAGTAACCCTGGATGATGCCTTCATGGAGAAGTGTGATGAGCACGTGCTGTGGCTGGACTACAAGAACCTCATCAAAGTCGTGGATGTTGGCAGCAAAATCTACGTGGATGATGGTCTGATTTCCCTGCTGGTTAAGGAGAAAGGTGTGTAGCAACCACCTGCTTCACCCATTCTTCCAGCTATTGTCATGGATGGGTTTTATTGTGCTCGGAGTCCTATACACCAGAAAGATGTACTGTGCTTCTAGGTTTAATGCTGCAGTTAGGTGTCCACTTAAAACACAGTAAGACTTTTTCTATTTCACTTGTGGGAAGTTTTCCATGATGAACTTTAGCAGGATTTTGCTGGCTGCTGTCTAAACCCCCTTGTCAAAGATGCCCTTGTGGTAGGGGTATACCCATGCTGGTGACTTAAGTCTGTTCAGCCGAGCTAATTCTTAGTTTTCATGCAGCATTTAATCGGTTAAACAAGGAGTCAGTGCTAGTTTTAACTGGTGATGCACGGACAAATTAGTTCCACTACACTCCCTTTGAGTTGTGCATAAAGTGCTCTTATCTTAAGCTGTTACCTTGAACTACAAAGTAGGTAGTGCAGGGAGATGGTGAGGGAACTTTTGGGTACTCGCAGTGCTCTTGTATTCAGGAATGCAACCTGCCTGCCTTCTCACGCAGGGAATTCCAGCCTCCTGCTTGGAGCAAATGAATGTCCCCCTTCAAGAATAGCATAGCAGTGGAGGTAGAGTGGTCTCTCGGGCTCCCAGGAGTTGGCTGCAAGCTTGTGCATTGCCCAAGCCCTCTGCAGGGAGCAGTGATGTGCTCTTATCGCCCCCGGTGACCGATAGCACTGGCTGTTCTCAGGCCTCTCCGATGGGAAGGTGGTGGAGGAGTGGGAGCCGGCGGTGCCGTAACGCTCGCTGTGGGAACGCATCTGTTTCAGGCAAGGACCACGTCGTAACGGAGGTCGAGAACGGCGGCATGCTTGGCAGCAAGAAGGGAGTGAACCTGCCCGGTGCTGCCGTGGACCTGCCCGCTGTCTCCGAAAAGGACATTCAGGACCTAAAGTTTGGCGTGGAGCAGAATGTAGATATGGTGTTTGCTTCCTTCATCCGCAAGGCTGCTGATGTCCATGCTGTCAGGAAGGTGCTAGGGGAAAAGGGAAAGCATATCAAGATCATCAGCAAGATTGAGAACCACGAGGGTGTGCGCAGGTGAGCTTCACACGGGCCGTATTGCAGCCTAGTCCCCTGCTTCCACAAGAGAAGCCGTGTGGAGCACGGACCTCTGCACTGTTGTGCAAGCTCTTCTGGTCTCTGGTTTTTATCAGAGCTGGTCGCTTGCAGCATGGTGCTGATGCAGCTCATTTCCTGGGCTGATGGAGCTGCATTACGAGCAGCGGTTTGTGCAAGGGTCCCAGCCACAACGTGTAGCAGCCCCAGCCCTTGGAAAAAGCTGCTGTGATCTCTGCAGTGAGTGCGAGTTCCAGCTTCAGCCAAGTTCTTGATGACTTGAAGGTTGTGGGTTAATGCGTGGAAATCATCAAGTCTCTGACAAATGATCAGTCTAAAATGTCTCAGATAAGCTCATGCGCTTGGGTTTTTTTTTTTTTTTTTTGCATAGCTTCAGAAACAGTGTTATGACCTGGTCTCTTTTCTTCCTACTACCATGGAGTTATAGGAAATTCGCTGTCTGACAGCATAATAGCACATGGGAAGCCAATATGCTGATGCTATAACTACATATAGTGCTCTAGAGCAGTGAATGTTTTTGAAAGCAGTGGCACAGAATAGGTGATGTGGCCTCATGGGTTTCCCTGCGGAGCACACGGGATAACAAGCCTTTCCTCTTGCTGTCAGGTTTGATGAGATCATGGAGGCCAGCGATGGCATCATGGTGGCTCGTGGTGACCTGGGAATTGAAATCCCTGCTGAAAAAGTCTTCCTTGCCCAGAAGATGATGATTGGGCGCTGCAACAGGGCTGGCAAACCCATCATTTGTGCCACTCAGGTATGGAAATGCTGTGCTGGTGTTTAAGTGTCAGAGCAAGCTTGTGGGGTCTGGCAGTGTGTGGATCTGTCACTGCACAGGTATGGGCTGAGGGAAGGTCCTTGAGGGCTTTCAAAGCAGGGTGAGGTGCTAAGAGCAAAGGCAGTAGCTGGATGGCTTGTCTTGAGAGGCTTGAGCTCCAAAGGAGTTTGAAGATGCTTTCCTCAGGTGGGTCATGGGACCTCTTGGGTGGTTGCTGAAGGCTTAATCCCTCACTTCCAAGCGCAGTGCATGTTCCTAACAGGATAAGGAACGCTGGCTCTAGGTAGTAATCAGTTGAGGTTTTGTATTTATAGCAGCACCTGCTCCTTCCTGAGGCTCGCTGTATAGGGCAGGATTAAGTCAAGCACCTTAGGAAGGCATGGGAGCTGGCCAGGCTGTGGTGGGTGGCAGTTTGCAGAAGCCAAAGAGGTGGCTGGTTTATAGAACGTTCTTCTTGTGGGGAAAGGGCAGAAAGAGCCAAAAAACCATCCTGCTTTCTGCCTCCTTCAGTGCCTCCTGCTCATACTTGCTGTAATAGCGGTATGATCATGTGAAGGACTGGAAAACCTGCTCTGGGTGAGCATGAGTTAGGCTGGTGCTGGCCGTGCTGTTAAGCTGTTTTTTAGACACTGAAACACTGCATTCCTGACATCAGTTGGGAGCATGTGGCTTGGCTTGAGCAGTAGCAGGATTTCCATACAGGAACTTCCAGCAATACTTGAAAAAGTAGCTGCTTCCTTCTGCAGGGTCTTGATTTCTTTGGATCTCTCCTTCCACAGATGCTGGAGAGCATGATCAAGAAGCCTCGGCCAACTCGTGCCGAGGGCAGCGACGTTGCTAACGCTGTCCTGGATGGAGCCGACTGCATCATGCTCTCCGGAGAGACGGCCAAGGGCGACTACCCGCTGGAGGCCGTGCGCATGCAGCACGCTGTGAGTATCGCGGGGCTGGGAGCGGGAGGGAGCCCGTGCGCAGCGGTGGCACGAGGCCATTTCCAGCATCTTCGTTCGAGCAGGCACTCGAAGATGAGCACATTTCGGGTGCTACGTGGCAGCGCCCAGCAGTCTAATTGCAGGATTTCTTTTGTCCATGCTCCTGCTGTGGGCTTGCCTTGACCTACCACGGTCACGAGACCCCGAAACCTCCATGCGTGTGCTGCCTGCTGCTGTAAGGCAGAGCTTTGCAATGCTGGGAGACCTAAAACTTCCCATTTCTCATACACTTTGTTTTTTAATGGTGGTTGATACTATTTTGCTGTTAGCTTGGTATGAGTTTCTTCAAACATGCCACTCCTTTTGGCTTATTCAGTGTCTTAAACTTTTCCAAGGTCAAGGAACCGCTTCAGCTTAACCAGTTCCTTGACCTTGGAGGAGTTTAAGCAGTTTATCTCCAGATAATGGAATGTATAAATTGACTGCTGTGTATGGGGGCAGGGGGGAGGCTCACAAGTGTGATTAGTGGGACTGTTGCATTTGATGCCTAGCCCATTTGGTGATGGGGATGCTGTTGCATGATTACTGACAGCACCTTGTTTTTACGTGTCTAAACTGCCAGAAGCCTCTGCTCTGCTTCGAGTTCACCCAGCTCGTGTTTTGATTAATAAAAAAAGCCTGACACCAAGTATCTAGAAGTGTTAGTTCTCCCCAGTTATCCCTGCTGTCATCACAGCAGTGATAATGCAAAAGTTTCTCTTGCAGTTTGAGTTATATAAATAATAAACCTAGTGTGTGCTTGCAGTGCATTATATGAATATCTTCTTCTCTTGGAGCAATTTGAAATGCACATGAGAAAAAAATAGGACTTTGGTCAGTGACTGGCCATGAGATGCTGTTTTTCAAGCTGAATACTAACTGTACCTGAAAGATCTTCCCTAATATTTCACCTAAATCACAAGGATTGACTTTCTACCAGTATTGGGAAACTTGCTACAGCAAACCTTACACCTGGCTTTCACTTTTGGCATCAATACCTGTACTCAGGCAGGTCCTACCTTGTTGGAGAGGATCGCTGAATTTCATGTTTGGTGTAGATGAGTGTTTTGACTCAAAATTGACAGGCAAAGACAAGCAACAAATGAATCCCTAAAGGAGAGGGGGGGGACCCTCAAGGGCAGATTTCTCCAAGTTCCTCACCAAGATGAGCTGCGCAGCAGTGGTTATTCTTGAAATAAGTCTGAGCTCAGTGCGTATCACACATGCTGCCTTCTTGCTGCAGACCTGGGCATGAAACTGTGCTCTGTTTGCTTTCTTCTTCCCCCCGGACAAATATTTAGGGTTTTTACCCTATGCACCAAGGACCAAATGTGAATACTTTTGGCATAACTTGGCATGAGCAGCAAAATGGGAGCTCTCCTGTAGGAGAAAGAGCACATTCCCCCTCTAGTCAGGCTCATTTTGTCTTTCATCTGAGCTGATTCACTTGAGCTCAGTGGAGATGAGCCCTGCTAAATAGGTGTCCTGATAACCACCCCCTGGAAAATGTGGCTAGAGCAGATGGCCATCAAGGGCTCAAGTGTGACATGGACAGCGTTGCCATCCCTGAAATGACTGAGGAATATTTCAGGCTGCAACAGCTAAGCAGCGATAGTGGGAGTAGAGAGCTGCTGTGTGTGTTGTATCAGTGTCAGCTTATATATATACTTACTGGAGTACATATATAAGTACTGGAGTACTCCAGCATAAACTTTCTACATGGTGAGGTGCAACGAGGGGTATTGAGAGCATCCATGTGACTTAACCCCTCCATCTGCTGATGTGCCCTGGCCTGCTCGGCTGGGCCCCTGCAGTGGCTGCACTTAGCAATCACTGTCCTGATTAAAAAAAAAATCACTTAAATTAAAAATTAAATTAAAAAAAATCACTGTAGCTGATTAAAAATGAGCTTCACCTTCAGTAAATGGCACCTGCCTAACAAGTGACTTGTCTCTGGTACGCTTGGCAGCAAGTTTCCAAATATTGGGCAGGCTCTTTCCTCCTTGCAGGAGTGGTTACCTTCAAATTCCGTTTCTGAAATCACGCTTAAGCCATTTTTTTTTTCCTAAAAACAAAACAAAGACCTGTCTTGGGCGGAGCCCCAGGACCAAGGTTCCTCTCTATTCTCCTTCCTCCCATGTGGTGTTTCTGCACAAGCCTACCCCCTGGAAACCCTCTAACCATCTCCCTGTGAATAAAACCCTGTACAACCTGGAGCTAGGACGTGCTGTGCCCTTCTGTAGCCACTGTCAGGATGGGCACAGGGGTCCCCACTTGCTCGTGCTGTGTCGAATCCCCGGTCACCTCAGGCCTGCCCTTCACATTAGACAAAGCTGCCTGCCCAGGAGCTGAAGAAATCCTGCCTGGCTGCCCGCTGTCGGGTTTGGCATAAGCAGTTTGGGGTCAACGTTTGCTCTTCCTTCCCTTTTTTTGATCTAACAGCTTAAAGCGCGTTGTAGCAAAGCTGAGCCTGCAATACTCCTGTGGGTGAAGAGCAGGCCTGGGGTTGGCATTAGACTCCTGTTCCTCTGTCGCATATGTCCTGTTCTAGTTAGGTATAAGGGACTTAACTACCTCGGCTTAAATTGATATCTGTTGAAGAAGGATAATTCCCAGCATTGCATAAAATAACTTATTAACACATGCATGGCAAAGTTCTTATTTGGAAAGGGTCTCAACCCAAAGCTTTCCCTGTATTGGATTTCACTACATACCAGCTTGTCCTGCTCCATGTAACCACTGCTCCTGTTCTCGAGTGACTGAGCGAGATGGTCCTTGGCAAGGTGACCAGCCTTTGCATGCTCTCTTCGTCCCTGCAAGCCTTCTCTACAGGGTCGTCAAGGGCTCGTGCAACTGCCCTTGTGCTGGGAATCTCTCGCTGAACGTGGCCCCATGGGTCGCTGCAGCCGCTGGCGAACGCGTGGTCTGTAGGCAGAGCCCGCAGCCGTGCTCCTGCACCTGCGGGCTGGCAGCGGCCATGTGGGACAAGCACACGCTGTGGCACCCTGTAGGGAAGACTTGCTCCTCTTTGATCCTCTTCTCCTGAACGGCCAGTTGGTACCTACCTGCACGTGGAACTCTTTGGCTCTTAGCTAAGCGAAGCCCAGTGGAACTAGGGGGGACCCATGTCGTGTTTGAGGGGTGCTGCTCCTGTGTGGTGTCCTCGGGGCACTGCTACCACCGCTGTGGGGCTTGCGAGGGTGGGACAGGCCTGGGCAGGGGTTTGTGCCTCTGCAAGCAGGGGCTCCCGCAGGCTCACAGACGCCCTGGGATTCTCCCAAGGGCTAGGAAGCGGCTGCAGCAACGCAGCTGCGTGCCCGTCCTGCACGGGAGAGCTGGCCGGGGTGGCTCTGAAGGGCGCCCACGGCACAGCAGGGACGCTGCCTGGCAAGGCTGGCGTCGAGCGGTGCCCTCCCGCTGCGTGGGCGGCACCCTGGCCCTGCTAACAGCAACATTCAGCAGATTGGCAACCCAAGAGCCAAAGCGTTTCACGCCACCTAATGTTAGTTTCCTTCTTGCATGTGTTACTGTGACAATTAAGCAAATTAATGTGATCTCATGTTACTCTGGTGTATCTTTCCTTCTCTTTCCTGTTGCTCCTTTCTTCTCCTTCCCTCTCGCCCGGGCCTGCAGATCGCTCGTGAGGCGGAGGCCGCAATGTATCATCGCCAGCTCTTCGAAGAAATTTTCCGCCTCACTGTTCACAACAGGGACCCTGCTGATGCCATGGCCGTAGGCGCAGTGGAGGCCTCTTTTAAGTGCTTAGCTGGAGCTCTGATAGTTCTGACTGAGCACGGCAGGTAGGGCTCAGAGACAGGTAGAGACGTAGGCTCTGTAAGACAGCCGAAACTCTCACTGCAAGCGGGCTAGCTGCTCTGGAGGCCAACGCTCGCTTCGTGCCACTAGTTTCCCCAAATAGAAACGCGCTGCTGCAGCGTCAGCCTTGCATAACGCCGTGCTCCGAGCTGGCTCCATCTGTGTAGCAGGGCAGGACTCCAGGTAGGTAGGGAGCAGAGCAAGAGCGCCTGGCAGTTGGGCACGGATGTGACCTGAGTGAGGGCCAAGCAGGGTGAGGTGACTCAGCAGGTGCCACCGCTTCAGAAGAGAAACCCTTTGCATCCAACCAACCCGATTAAACCAAATGTGGCCTCGCGCATTGGTAACTCTTCTGAGCGCTGCGGCCGGAGCTGTGTGACACCTTGCTGACAGAGCACCTCACCTGTGCCGTGGCGCACGACTGACGCGAGTGTTGTCTTCCCGCACGCACGTTGCTCTTGTAGATCGCTCGCGAGGCCGAAGCCGCCATCTTTCACAGGCAGCTGTTCGAGGAGCTGCGCCGCCTGACCTCGCTGAACTGCGACCCCACCGAGGCCGCCGCTGTGGGCGCTGTGGAGGCGTCCTTCAAGTGCTGCAGCGGGGCCATTATTGTCCTTACCAAATCCGGAAGGTAGGAGCTGGCTGCTGCCCACACGCCGAGCGTGGACGTCAGGACAGGGTGGGGGTAGGAGATCAACCAGCCTTTTCCTTGGCAAAGCCAGAGCCGTAAGAGCGAAGTCCTGGTTTTGGCTGCAGCTCGACCCAGCTGTGGTGCCAGTTCCTCGGAAGATGGGCAGAAGTCTCGCGCATCTGCAGATACTTCCTCTCTGAGTCACTGTGTGCCTCTACCAGCGTGGTATCCGCACCAAGCTTTGCCTTCTCTTGCTGCTCAGAAGGGCATTTCTGTCACTAAGCTGGCTAGAAGAACAGAAGGAAAAGCAAGAGTTGCAGTTCAAGATTTCTTGCAGTGAAGTTTGAGTTTACAGTAAGAGAGAAGTTCAGTGGCTGCAGAATTCCTTTCTTTTTTTATAAGGCCTTAACCCATCTTGATAGCAACCAAATTACAGCTCTGCCTCACGTGCCAGGTCCCTTGCTGGACCACCCCAGTATCAGCACTGTGGGCCCAAGCCCAAGGGGCAAAGAGGCCGTGCTTCACCCAGCGGTGTTGAGCTGGAAAAAGGATGCTGGGAGCTTTGCCCCGTGTGAGCTTCCTTGTGCCCACAGGGGATGTATCCCAGTGAGCAGCCACGCGCGCCTGCCTCGGCAGAGCCCGGCCGCCGTCAGAGACGGGCACTGCGGCTCAGAGGGCCTGGTGTTTGTGTCCAGCGGTGCCGAAGATGGATGGATGGATGGATGGATGGAGCCCATCTCAGCCCTGGCGAGGAAACGGTAGAAGGGCAAAGATTTGCTCATCAGTCCTCCCACCCAGAGGGCCCAGTGTGCCCCCCGCTGAAGCCAGGCTGACAATAAGTCTTCTCAAGGGCTGCTTTCTAGGAGGGAATCTGAATTTCTGGCACTGAATTGGGACCAAGGAAGTCATGTGGCGGCAGAAGTGTCAACGATTTACGTGCTGGCCACGGTCTGCCTGAAGAACTGGCCTGTCTGTTTTTCATCTAAACACACAGCTTCGTGTCGCTCGAAACAAGAACTTTCTGCAGAGATGGGCAAGGACTGTATAAGCACTGAGGTTTCTGGAGGGCCTTGTACTTCTAATGTTTCTTCATAAAAGGCTCCAGTCTTACCCTTGACCTTTTTTTAAGGGATTTGAACTCTGATATTTGAATATTTTTAGCTGTGGATTCTGTTACAGCCTCCAAGTACCTGGGTCTGTTGGAGCTGCTGGGCGGCTGCTTGGGCAGCGTGGGGAGAGCTGTGCAAGAGCTGGCACATGCGAGTGGGCGCTTGGGCAGGCCTGCTGCTGCCTGCTTGTGAGCAGCAGCGTTTGAATCCGAGTAGGCCGCGGCTTTGGCTGAGCTTGGCACAAGGAAACCAAGCTGCAAAAGCTGGTAAAAACACTAGTGTGCTGCCTGGGGACGCGTTGGGGAGATGCACCTGCAAATGTCACGGGTTTGCACTTCTTAATCGTGTTACTGCTTTGCAGTTGTTTCCCAAAAGCACAAACTGTGCCCAAGGAAAGAGCTGTAGTTCACCCAGCGTGTGCTGCTTGCCATGTTAAGGCACTGTGAGGGCTCCGGGCCTAGGATCCTTGTATAAATTCCTGCCTTGGTTGTATCTGCTTCCTCTTGTGCCCAGGACCAAGCCTGTGTAAGCAGCTGAACTGGGGCTGGAGACACCCAGCTTGCCCGGTCCCCGCACATGGGGCATGGAGCTGTCCCCAGGGCCGAGAGCTGCGCAGAGGCAGGGGCTGCTGTGTCTGCCCTCGGCTTCGGGGTGAACATGAATCCAGGTCCTGCGGGAGCTCATCCAGGAGCTGGATGTTTAAGCCACTCCGGGCGCTGCAGTCAGGCCCATTGCAGGGGCAGCTCTGCTTTCCCTCATGCAGCCTCCTCGCAGTAGCTGCTCCGAAAGCATCTTCCTTGGCAAGCTTTGGGGTGGCACTGCTGGTCCGGGCCCTTCCCATCCTGCAAGTGGCTGCTCATTAAAACAGAGCACGGCCCTGGCAGGGACTCCACTGAGCAGCCTGGCGAGGCCGCAGTAAATGGCCCTGGACCCCTTAACCTAGCAGCAGACACGCGCAAGTGCTTGTTCCCGGGCTTGAAACCTGCAGGTTGCCCTGCCCAGCCCTAGGGCAGGCGCCCCTGCCAGCCTAGAGGAGGGATCCTCCAGCTGCTAAATTCTGGATTCCCTCTGGCCTCAAGCTCTCCTCAAGCCCTTGCAGTTCCTCTGCAGAGGAGGAGCCCTCGGGGGGCCGTGAAGCCCTCCAGGATGAAGGACAAACCCGCTGATGCTTGGGCTGAGAGCGGAGGTGGCCCTGAGCTCTACCCGTCACGCGGCGGCTTCACCCTGTGCTGTGGCCTTCTTCTTCCTAGGTCGGCACACCTGGTGTCCCGGTACCGCCCGCGGGCTCCCATCATCGCCGTGACCCGCTGCGGGCAGACAGCGCGCCAGGCCCACCTCTACCGGGGCGTCTTCCCCGTGCTGTGCAAAGAGCCGGCCCATGACGCGTGGGCGGAGGACGTGGATCTGCGTGTGAACCTGGGCATGAACGTCGGTGAGTGGCACTGTGCCGGCCTCGGCCGCGAGCGGAGGCTGCTGAGAGGAGGGAGCCCTGAGGGCCTCAGGGAGCGGGTATGGGACCACTTAGGGGTCCAGTGATAGCGGTAGTTCCTGTCAGGAGGGCAGCCAGCTGCCTGTGCTCGGTTGGTCACGCTCTCCAGTGGGGGAACGGGAGGCAGACGTGGTGCCCAGGCACACCGCATCCCATTGGGAAAGGGCAGTCCTTGTGGGTCACAAGCAGGAGACTTGGGCTGTGCTTGATGTGACAGCTCCTTGGCTTGGGGTGTTCACGAAGCCCAGACATGGAGTAGGGTGATACCTCCCATGGGGCGTCCCCACATTCAGCGCTGCTGAGGTGAGCGCTCTGTAGCAGAGGACAGGTATCCCAGAAAGCCAGCCCGTGGTTACCACGAGCCTCCTGCAGCACCGTGGCCACCAAACTATGGGGAGCTGCGGAGAAACGGTGGCCGGTGAGACTGCGTGTGTGGCAGTGCTGGGCTGTGCGGCAGCTGAGCTCTGACACTTTCGTCTCTCTCTCCTAGGTAAAGCCCGTGGATTCTTCAAGAGCGGCGACTTGGTTGTCGTCCTCACCGGCTGGCGCCCTGGCTCTGGCTACACCAACACCATGCGTGTGGTGCCGGTGCCCTAAGCGACCGACCCACGTAGCGACCTGTTCTGCCCCCTCCTCCACTCCCCTCCCCTTGCATTAGACCAGCAATTGCTTGCAACGTTCTCCTTGTCTGTAGAGTGGATTTAGGTTGCTAAACACCACCGAGAGCAGCAGCAGGGGAAAAGACCTTAAATCACTAAAAATACTTGAAGTGTTTAGTTTTTTTAAGAAAACCGTTCTCCCTGTAGTTAAGTACTGCCCCGATGTATGTTGGAGTCAGCGTAGGAGGTTCCTGCATGCCCGCGGGACTCACACTCCTTGTAGCCTCGTCGCTGTCCTCAGGGTTGAGGGTGCCTTTTCCCGCCCTGCCGTGGGGCGGCGGGAAGGGCAGAGGTGGCTCGGTGGTTCCCCTGTGACACTCCGCAGTAAGTGAGCGGCAGCTCGACGCGCCGTGGGTTCCGCTCCGCGCGCCGCAGGGCTGCATGTTGGTGTCCCCCGCGCGTGCCGGCGGGC